AAGGACAGAGCGAATGTTTCTGTTCCTTAGCCATGTAAGATAGAAAGTCTTGCCAAGGTGTCCACTGCCCAAACCTTGCTGTCCTGGACATAGTCAAAGGTGGGTGACTATGACCCACATTTTCCTGCATAGATGAATGAATATACATGAGCCATGGACACTTGCTAGGCCTTGAGACCCACAGCCTAATTAATGAGCCAGTACTGGACACTTCCCTGTTCAGCTCTCAGAAGCACAGCTACTTCATGACTCCATTTCTCCTTCCCAGTCCGATGGGAGTGGGGAACTCAGGAATGCCTACAACTCTTTCTCCAACCTAGGACAATGGGGAAGGAGAATGTGCATGTGGCTGCAAAGAGTCCCCTGCCCTGCCCCATTTTCCAGGCCCAGCCACATACTTACTTGTCCCCTCATTTCAGTAGCTGGCAGAGAGTCATAATTGAATTTGCAGTAGGGCTGAGAATGAAAAAAGCAAACGCTTTACATGTCTGGAGTTAATTTATTCCTGATGATGGCCACATTCACACGCTCTTTCCTGACTGAGTTTCCAGAGCCGACAATGTGAAGCGCGTGCGCGCTCACACACACAAAGGGGGAGAGCAAGCGAGACCCAGCACATGCTCAGACCGCCTGTTGCTTCCCTGCTGGTGCCCAGATCTGCCTGTGACCAAGTCTGAAAGTACTAAGTGTGTCTTGGGGTAGTCTGCGCATGCCCGGGTGTAGCCATCTGCCTGAGGGGGTCTGTCTACAGAGCTGGCGAGTTGTACCTTAGGGGTGACTCGGAGCCAGCTCACCAGAAGGTAGCCTATGGAATAAGGTCATGCTCTTGGCTGAGAAAGGAACACCCAGAAGTGATAGTTGAGATGTGGCAGAGTGGTGGGCATTGCTGGGACATCAGGTATGACATACAATGCTCCTTCCTCACACTCCAGGGGAAAGCCCAGTGCTTCTTGCGCAGAGACGAGTCAGCATTGCCCGGCACTGGAGGAATCTTCCATGGAGGGAAGCCATCCCACTTTTTCTGTCTTCCACACGCTGTCTTCCACAGAGCACCTCTTAGATAGGCTCATAGCAGGTAATCACCACATTTGGAGGGAAAAACTATCTGCATTGCTGTATTTCAGACCAGAAACACAGCCTAGAGGTCAAGGGACTTCCCTCCAAGTCTCCAACCTGAATGGCAGAAACAGGGCTTAGACTGCTGTGTATCTAATTCTTTAACCACTCCCCAAGCAGTTAAGCAGAAGCCTGTCAGGCTGGGAATCCTTTTCGTAGACTGAAGAAGCTTTTACTCCTAGAAATGCATCTGCTACACCTTATGTGAGTTTGGGTCCCTGGGTTTGGGAGTGCTCCCAAGCAGACATTTCCACTTCCAAGGAGGTATAAGAGTACGTGTCCCCTGAGTTTCAGTGGTACTGTCCTTCCACCTCCTGCCCCTCCTCTACTTCTCTGGGAGCAATCTTGGATGACAAATGCCTTCAGGAGGAGAAAAAGCAAATGACAGAGAGAGAACACACGCCAGCAGATATTTTAGACATTTTTATTACACCTGGTATGTGCCAGTGACTTCTTTGTGTATTTTTGTTGTTTGGGTTTTTTTCCTGTTGTTGTTGTTTTCCATTTGTTCTTGATCAATCCTTTTGAAAAGACCCCAGGACTTGTCTGCTGAATGCAACATTGGAGAGGAAGAGCCTGAGCTAAGTTGGGGCACAGGTAGGCTCCTAGGGGACCCTGAGCCTGTCAGGAGAATGAACCTGACAGGAGAGTGAGGAATGTTGACACTGGGGAAGGCATTCTGCCCCTCTCCAGGCAAGTATGCACCAGGCAGCCCGGGGAGCGCGGAGGATCCACAGAGCTTTGCCACTGTGACCTGAGCAGAATCCAATAGCAGGCTTGCTGGGCTCCATGGCTGAGTATGGGTGGTAATCTGGGGGTTGTGGTATAGAGTGTTGTTTCTTCCTCCTCCCCTTGAGGAGGAGGCGGCCTTGAGAACCCATGGAGATGGCAGAATGAATCTGGTTCTGTCACGGACAGAACAAATACTCCAGCCATCTTGGTCTCTTTCCTGTGGCTGTTGCCACCATCTTTCTCCCTCTGGTCCTTGCTATCAGCTGTTTCTCTCTATATGTAACTCATCTGTTAGCTTTCTTTTGCACAAACCCACACTCATATGCGAATGCACACACACACACTCACACATACCATGAAGAACTGAGCCCAATACAAAGACCACTGCCTTTGGTCTGAGCCCACACTAGACCAAGCCTTAGGGAACAGGACTGAAGCTACTTTTCCAAAGGAAAGAACAAAAATAAATGGATAAAGGTATGGTGAGGAGAAAAGCTGTCATTACTCACTTCAATACTGCTCAGGGCCAGGGGCAACGTACGGACTTGGTGTGTCCCGTGAACCCTTGCCATTACCAACAGGAAATGTCTGCTGAGCTGTCACCAGCTCCCAGGCAGGGGATGCCCACCTGCCCCCTGGAAATCTCCTAATCCTGTATTTATGAAACACATAGAGAGAGGATTGAAGCAAGTTTGTGTTCCCTGGGGGTAGGGGCAAAAAGGGAGGGGCATGGCGGGGGCAGCTGGGGCTTGGGTAGGTAGCTCTAGCTCCCTGTCACCCTACCCTGAGCTGCCCATTTGAACCCAGAAAGGAACAGAAAATGGAGCATGTGTGTGTGTGTGTGTGTGTGTGTGTGTCTGTGTGTGTCTGTGTGTATGTATGTGTGACTCTGTGCCTGTGTAGAATTTCCCTCCAAATTAGCAGAGATAACAAAGACAGAAAACTGAGCATTCTAGACACAAAAGGCTTATCAAGTTTTACTGAATCATTTTTAAACAGAGGAGATTTATTCTCTACCTTGCTGCCAAAATTGGTCTCAAATGTGAACTAACTGAATTTTGTAACATAAAATCCATTTGAAATGGCTCTGAGGGCCTGGCTATTCAGAGAACTTAGAGTGAAACACTTAAGTCCTTTTGGTAAAAGAAGCAGACAGCTCATTAAGGACTGAGATATGACTTCAGCTCACAAGCATAGGTTGGGGAGGGACAGACGCCTAAGTCAAGGATCTCTGCAGCAGCACTAAGAAGCACGATGATCGGAGAGCAGGGATGGGGCCCCAGGGAGGCCAGAGGAAAGCAGAGAAAATGCAAAGGAAAGCTGGGAAGGCAGGAGAGGTAAGCAGGACAGGCTGGGTCTAGCTTCCTTCTGGGGCAGTGGAGGACCCTGATAAGGACAGTCCCTGGTGGAGGCCAGGGATCAGAGAGCAGAGGACAAAGGCAGAGAGTAAGGCTGGCTTGCAGGACCTGATCCTGAGAGGAGGTACTGAGTACTGACAGTGGACTGAGAAGCAGTCTGCTCTGGAAGATTCCAGAACCAACATGTGATGATGGAGCACGGAAGGCAGGCAAGACTGAAGGATACGTTCCACATTGCAACTCCAGAGACTGGGGAAGAACAGTTCAGGGGCTGCTTCAGCAGTGGAAGAGGGAGATTGTGGCCAGAGAAAGCCATTGGAAGTGGAGCTACAGTTCAAGGAGTAGGGTTCATGCCTTGAGTACAAAAGCTTAGGGACAGCACAGAGAGAGAAAGGGAGGGAGGGTGGAGAGAGGAGAGAGAGTACTTTTAAGTTGTAGGGGAAATGTGGAATCACTAGTAGGTAAACAGCTGGATAAAGTGCCTCAGCATCTCTGAGGCTAGCCTGAGATTCTAGGGCCATTCCCTTCTGGGGAGCAAATGAGCAGGTGTCACTGTGAGATTTGCATTGAGATCAAGGACCGAAAAAGAGGCTGGAGACACTAGAAAGCCACAGAGATTGAGAAGGCCAGGCCACGGAGAGAAACCCCAGCAACCAAAAACAATGGAAACTAAGGACTAAGTTTGTCAAGAAGTGTGAGTCCCTGCTCCAGCTGCTGAAAAGAGTCATGAACGACCAGGGTCCAGAGAAACAATCAGGGCCAGACGAAGCCCCTGGGTGAATTAGGAAAAGGTGGCCTCCTTCTGCAGGTAATTTACTTCTATCAGAAAACTACTGTAACACACTGGTTTTATTAGAACAAAACACTTTGCTGCCATCTGTGGGAAAGTTATTATAATAAAGAATAAGCATATGATGTCTTAGATGTGGTGGCGATGCATGGCTGCTCTGGTTTTTGGTGACAGCCATAAAAACAGGTTTCAGAGAGAGAATGAAGTTCACCAGTGAGGTAACATATGACCAACTAAAGGTGGCCTGAACAGTCAGGGATTTATGACCTGCATCACAGACATATGGTGTAGAGGTACATGTGGCTCGGTTCTCTCGCCAGAGTTTTTTCTTCAGCAATGATTAGCTCCTTGTCATTCACTCTACCATCCTTTTTGTGTTGACTTTTACGTTTCTGTATTGACTTTCTTCCCCAGCCTTCTCCCTTCAGGGTCACAAAGTGGTGTCACAGTTCCAGTCATTATATTTTTCTCCACAAATTTAAGAAGCAAAAGATGACTATGAATCTCCTTCTGCGGTTTTGTTGAGGACAGATCTTTCTTAGAAATGTCTCAGCTCCATGCCATCCCCTCATACAGTCTTAACATGTTCCATCCATATCTTCTTGACCAAGCCAGTGACATGCCTCTTGTTAGACCAAGTCAGTCTCAGTACATGCTCCAGACCTGCCTCATACACAGTTCCCTTGCCATCCACTCTCCAGTCTCCCTGAGTTTTGCATCATGACCTATAGAATCCCAGGGAACAGTTTCAAGCCCAACTCTAGGAATGGGGCCACGTTTAGGCTGAAGCCAAAGCTGGAAGAGGCAGAGCAAAGAGACAACACATGCCTGGATAGAGAGGAGAGAAGGCAGAGGCTGCTCATCTCAAAGTCTCCCCTTAGATCCTGCCTGCTTCTACCTCCAAAAGACTATACTAGAAATGCTCACACCCCACCTGCACCCCAACTTACCTACACACATCCCCCTACAGTCAACCATGTAGATGCACATAAACCAACAGCCACTCTGGTTCAGGATGCTTTATACGGAAATACATACAAGCTGACACAAAAGAAGAGTTGGGGGAAGGAGATGATGAAAGTGAAACTCCAAGGCAGCACCTCTTGGAGTCTGTGTGAGTCCCTCCATCCACCTGCCTGGCAGGACCCTCAGGTCTGAAGTAAGTGGCTAAGTGGAAGGAGGAGCAGGCCAGTCCTGAGGCCAGAGGGCAGCCGGCGCCCCCGTGTCCAGCGCAGGGAGGTCCTCAGCTGAAGGGTTTCACCAGCTTCATGGCAGCATAGTTCTAGGGGAGGAAGGAGGCGGGGCATGTGGTGATTCCTTCAGGGCAGGCACAGCCCAAGTGGTTATCCTGGGCTGGAGGGGCTGAGTTGCAGGCAGGGGGCTGGGACAAGAGACTCATGGCCCTTCCTCCCCCAGCCTGCAGCCAACCCTACCACCTACAACCCTCCTGCCCTGTCTCTAGATTGAACACTCCACCTACAGATTCTGCGACCAATTAGGGGAACCCGTTCCCTTCTGGAACTGCTCACACCTGCCCATCTTGACCAATGCTGCCTAGGTTGCTCATAATTCAGCCCCTCACCCAGCCAGCGACCAAGGAGGTTGTAGTCACCCAGGGCCTAGCCAGGGGGAGCCTGCCCTGCCTGGTTTCAGGTATGAATGGCCAGGCCATGATCCTCCTCCCTCCACTCCCACATCCACATATGCATACCCAGGACCTATGCTCACCAAGCTCTTGTCCAGAGAAAGAGAATGAGAAAATGAGAGAGAGAGAGAGAGAGAGAGAGACTTGGACTTGGGTTGGGGGGGGTGGGATACAGGCATAACCATGCTGTAGTCTAGCCCTGTCTGCTGTAGGACTGACAGGAACCTCTCCTCCCTCCCTGCTACTCCCTCCAAAACACCATGAAAACATACACAACACAACACAGGGCTCCTAATTGGGACAGTATGTTCCCCAGCGCCGGCCTGGGGAAGCCAACCCTGGAAACAAAGCCGGCCTCCTTCCTCGCCAAATCGCCTCCCGCCTCCCCATGCTGGCCCTGCTCCCAGCTGGCAGGGAGGGCAGAGCTGAGAGGAATCAGACAGGCTGCCCCTCTCGCCCACCCCCTCCCAGGGGAATGTCCAAAAGGGTAGGGGATGGGGCTGACTGGAGGGAAGGAAGCAGCTCCACCTTGGGCCCCTCTGCCCTGTATCTGGCTTGGGGCAGCTGGAAGAGACTCTCTACCTCTGCCTGAAAGGCAGGGAATGGGACTAGCCCCACCCCACAGGTGTGGGCCAGGCCAGGTAAGTGCATTACTTCAGTGGAGGGCAGCAGCATTCCCTCCCAGACCTTGATAAAGCAAATGAGCAAACCGTCTATAGCCTTAGGATCCGTCCCCAGCACGCCCAGGCTGAGAGAAAGAACTTCGGCAGGGTCAGCATTTAGAGGGAACAATTGCCAGACAACTGAAAGGAGGCCCAGAAAGCAGGGGAAGGACTCTGGCCAGGACTCCAGGGGGGCTATTCAGCCCCTTCCCACAGGACCCAGAGCTAAAGCTACCCCCAGGGAAGAAGAAGAAAGACCACAAGTAGGAAAGGACTAGAAATCTTCCCTTTTTCCAACTGGTTCACAGAGGCTCCTTCCCTAGGCCTTTGAAACCTAGGTCTGCCACCAAAGGACCCCACAGGATGGGGCCCAGCTGGCTAGGGGCTGAGTCAGGTCTAGGTGCTCGGTGGTTGTAATGTTATACACTCTGCCTTCCCCAGGGCTCAGGAGGAGGCATCAGGAGAAGGACTGAACCACAGGTGTCTAAGCCAGGTGAAGAATCAGTCACAGAAAATGGAGGCTGACACCATCCAGCCCTCTCTGCACGTACATGGGAAGGCCTTGCCTAGGTCATACAACAAGTCACAGCTAGAGCCGGCGTTCCTGAGTTCAAAGCTCTATCTTGCACAGGGTGTGAGATTATGAGATCCAAGAATGGATCCTTCCTCAGGAGACTGGAGCCCAGGCCAGGACTCTGCATTCTAGAAGTTCCCTGGGGATGCTGATACTGCTCAAACTACACTGAGAAGAGTGGGAAACTGTCTGTCCTCGGATGCTAAGCCCCTCCCCCATGCTGATGGAATGCTTCACTGTGAAGGGCAGTTGTCCTTATTCTCTGGTATCAGTGCCTCCAGGGAGACCTAGAGTTCCCTGGGGGACAAGCCCCATCATCACCCCCTGGTGCTTGGGTTTTGACTGTGAAAATCAGCTTATCAAGGGAATGATGTCACCAATCTCTCCACTTTTATATGCTTTAAATGCTCTTGTTAGAACATTTGTTTTCATCATTACGTGAAAATCCAGGTGTTAGCCTGAAAATACACAGAACCCTTCAAGGGTCGAGAGCACCAGAGACCCTGGAGGACTGGGGTACAGTCGTTTCATGGTCCCTTGTTGAGCTGTGAAAGGCAGGGGACCACAGGCAGGGAACAAAGACCTGTACCCCACTTCTCTAGACAGGGCCCCATGGAGCTGTGGCCTAACAGCTGTAGCTGGGGTGGCTCTGGAAACCCTGCTAGGTTCTTTACCAGGTGTCTCTTGGCTTCTTACCAAGTATGTACTATGCCAAGGAGTGGGTCATGGCCAAACCCCTTTGGTTCTCCACAGTATGAATCTCCACCCTCTCCAGGCCCACCTAAGACTTAGCAAGTCTTGTCACCAAGACAGAGGGGCTGTCACCCCTGCTGTGCCAGCCACTTCCCTTCCTCCACCTCCCTCGGGAGGCTCCCTATACCTCCAGCCCCAGGAGTCTTGCTTCTCTAGACCCTTTTTTTGGGGGGGGGGGGTGACAGTCCTAAGGCTTGAATTTAGGGACTGGGTGCTGCCCCTGAGCTTCTTTTGCTCAAAGCTAGGGCTCTACCATGTGAGCTCCACTTCTGGCTTTTTTGGGTGGCTAATTGGAGATGAGAGTCTCACAGGTTTTTCTGTCCAGGATGGCTGTGAATCGCAACCCTAAGATCTCAGCCTCCTCAGTAGCTAGATTACAGGTGTGTGCCATCAGTCCAGCTCATTTCTCAACCCTTTGACTGCACATCTTCGGGGCTTACTAAAGATTGCTAGGTCACCTTGTCAAGGTCAAGAACTCTTTTCCCCGTGGACTACAGGTTCTACATGTTGAGTATTGTCTCCTTGCCAGAGTGTGGACTCTCAGAGTAGGATCAATATCTCCTCAGCCCAGGGACTCCCCCAGGACAGGTTATGTCTCCATCAGACTGAAGAAGGCCCTTGAGAACAAGGAGGATGGGCTCCCCCATTAGACCACGAGTTCCCCCGGTCAGCCTCTGCCTCCCCAATCAGTCCTGCTCACCGGAAAGGCATAAACGAAGATGCCCAGGAACAGCAGTAGGATGAAGAGGATGATGAAGAGGATGATGGCACACCGGAAGCGTCGCCACAGGATGAACTTCATTGTCTTGTATGGGGAGGTGAACCATAGGAAGGAGGTATCAGGACGCCTGAAAGTGACATCCCAGAGGGTGGTTAGTCTCCTTTCCAGGGCTGCCTTCTCCCAACCCTACTCTCAGCCTAGGGACAACAAATAGCCCCACTCCCCACATTGTGATCCCTCAAGGACCTTTCCAGCCTCCATGTCCCATGTGCTACTGCTAAACTCAGCTGTCTTGATCTGCATCCCCAGTCCCTAGAGGTTCTTCTGGGTGCCACTAGACTGTGCTGCCCTCCTGGTCTTGCAGTGAAATCCTGTTCCAGTCATCCTCCCTTCCTGACTTTGGACTTAATCACAAGCTACACATGGGATCCTCAAGGCTGCCCTGTTAAGTGAACAATGTCACCCTGGGCAACCTATAGGCCACGCCATCTGCCCAAACACACATAATTCTCAGGGGGGATGGAGAGAAAGGAGCTCATAAAAATAATTCTTACTCCCAGTCAAGAACTTCTAAGCCTTTTCCTTAGTCAGCACCACAATTCCATTAGCAGCAGAACTTTGTGTCTCAATCGAGGCCAAGTTAACATCTGATTTCTCTTCCTGGGGTCTCAGGGCTTTCTCTTTTCTCTCCAGTTCCCAAAATTCTGGACTAGAACACCTGTCGCTGCTGTGCCAGCCTCACGGCACATGGACAGCACTGTGATTACATTAAGCATGCCATGGTAGTAGGGTTGAGGGACCCACCAAATATAGTCTTAAACCCCCAAATTATCTTTTCATGACTGTCCAAGGAACTGCAAAGAATGGTCCTCTGGCTTGGTTGGTCTATCACCCTAAAGGCCCTTGGTGTAATGAAGATAGGCAACAGTTTCTGCACTTCATACACAACATTAAGGTTGAGAGGTCATTTGAAAGCCACCTTGATAGCAGCACAGAAAGTATAGGTGACTGGGAAGATTTTGATCAGACTCCAGAGCAGGTGAGAGAACTTCTGCTTCCCGTCTCTGGGATTAGAAATGACCTAACATAACTTGACTGAGATTGTTTCCTCATCTATAAAAGGAGGATAAGAATTACCCCTCAGGGAGGGCTCCCAAGCACAATGATACATCATATGCCCTATGACAGCATGTATGCCACAAAGCCAACAGGCATCCATTAAAGCCTGCTTGAAATAGCTGAGGAGCCCAGCACCTCCCAAAAGGGTGCCTATCGCCTGCTTCTCTCTGAGCCATGTGGGCCTTATAATCGCCTAGCTATGCCTGAGGTCAGAGACTAGGGGCAGGAACTAACCTTGGATCCTCCAGTTTCGGATTCATATTGGGTTCATCCCGTCCCTGGCCAGCAGGCCGTTCTTCATGCTCGCTCTCTGCGACAATCTCTAAGGTCATTTCCAACTTTCCCTGTGGACATAACATGGTGAGGGCCTCTGCCCAGTAACCTGAAGAGAAGCCAGGCAAAGACAAACCTAAAAGCCATGTGACTATTATTTTTAAGATGTAGGATTGTCCTCATTCTGTATTCTTTACAAAATATTTAGAAATGACAGAAATGTCTAAAGAAGACCACTGCCCACACTTCCACAATGTGGAGAGCAGCCCTGCTATGTTTCTATCCATTACAGCTGAATGTATGAAATGTCATACTGGATATTTCATTCTATAGCTTGGTTTTTTCATTTAGGAATATATTTCATTAGATAATTAGATATTCTTTCAAGTTATGTTTCTAATGACTGTAAAACGTTCATTCCATGGTTGGTTAGCCATAATTTACTTAGTAAACTACTTATTTAGGTTCTTTTAGGTTGATTCCAACTCTTTGATATTATAAATAGTGCTACAATAAATATCCCAGAAGCTAAATTTTTAATTTTATCTGGTTATTTCTTTAGAAGAGAATTTAGAAGTAGGGGATAGAGTCCAAGGGCATAAAAAAATCTCGTTAAATCTCTCATTATATGTTACCAAATTGCCTCTCCACACAGTGAAACCACTAATGCTCCTTGCAGAAGTAAATGAGGTCTGTCTCTCTGCATCCTCACCCCACATGAATAGTTCTATTTTTTTAATCTAATGTAATAGACCACAAGAAATCACCCTTAATTACTAGAGGGAATAACCCTCTTTTTCACATCTAATGGGCTTTTGTACTTCTGTGAATTATCTGTGTATGTCCTTTGCTTATATTTTTTCTTTAGGGCATTAAGTATTTCTTATTAATCATTACAGTTCTTTATAGAATAAGAATATTTTATTTCAAGGGCCACTTTAGAATTGGCTGACTACCTGCTATTTCTAGGAAAACACCCAAAAAAATAACTTCCTCTCCAGGCTGCTCTGGACTGAAGAAAGGAAGTTCCTCCAGTCTCTTAAGCAGACTTCTCAGCAAGAAGAAAATAGGCCTGAGAGAGTCCTCTTCAAATGGGAATGCAAAACCTCTGCCTAGACACTAGTAATCCCAGATCACAGGAGGACTCAGAATGGATCCCTAGCATTCCATTTAAATAGGCTCCTCCTTGGATGTGACCTCCAGAGAGGGGAAGGCTGGGAAGAGGGCATGGGGGAGAGGGAGAAAGCCTTGGAAAGTCGGGAGAGGGAGAAGGGCAGAATAGTGCATGGGCATATGCCTGCTGAATGCCATAGAAGAAACTACCCAATGCCTTCTACCAGGCCTGGAGGGAGCTAACTTACCGCCAAGATCCTCTTTTCTCCCTCTTCTGCTACACAGGGCCACCAGCCCTTCACCGTCTTCTGCTCAAAAAGGGACACAAACCATTCTGGGTGGAAAGTGTCATCTAGCTGATCCAAGGAGCATTTCTCAGCCGTCTTGGCTGGCTTGGGCATGTGGTTGAGATCTAGCTGCAGGGAGCCTGTGACACAGAGGTGTTCTTTAGCCAAGGATGCCTTAATCACTGCCAGCCTGGGGGAGGTAGGTTCAACCCTGGGACAGGCAGGTTCAAGAAAAACTTACTATCATCTCCTCAGCTTCTAGTCATGGCTTAGCTGTGGGTCAGGTTCAACAACGTCACCATTTCCTGTTCTCTCCACACAGCTTCTCAGCCATCTACCCAGGCACCTTGTGTCCATTTACTCACCATAGTGACCTCCTTTAACGAAGTTACCCACCTACTTCTGTATACAAATGCACTCACACTCCCATTGTCCAGATACATCTAGCCACCAATTTTTTTTTCAGTTGTGGGGCCTGAACTCTGGGCCTGAGCGCTGTCCCTCAGCTCTTCAGCTCAAGGCTAGCGCTCTACCACTTGAGCCACAGCACCACTTCCAGCTTTTTTTCTTTTTGTTTATGTGGTGCTGAGGAATCGAACCCAGGGCCTCATGCATGCAAGGCAAGCACTCTACCACTGAGCCACCTTCCCAGCCCCCCCCCCCTTTTATTTCTAACTGTTGTGAATAATGCTGCAGTGGTTTTTAGTGATTTGGGATAGACACCTAAAAATACAGTTTCTGGGTAATATGTTAACTTTGTGTTCAGCTTTTTGAGGAGTAATCAAGCTGTTTACCTCAATGGCTTCATCATTTTACAATCACACCAATGATGTATATGTGTTTGAGTTTCACAGCATCTTCACCAACACTTGTTATATTATTAGTATTGCTGTCCTGGTAGTTTGAAGAACCTCCTGTGACTCATTCATCAGTCTCTCCCATCTACCAACTTAGCCATCCAAACGGTCATCGTTTTATATTGTTCCATCTCATCAACCTAAAGGCCATCATTTTTTTCTTTTCAATTCCAACCATTAGTTTAAAACATGAAAATGCATGTACTTTTAGTCTTTAGTTTTTGACCTACAAAAAGAGCAATCCTACGTGGTTTCACCTAATCCAAGGACAATAATGTAGTAGAGTCAATGACTCTGGAATACAGGTTACTGAAGTGATTAAGTGAGAAAGGTAAACTTTTTAAAAACTGTTTTCTGAGGCCAAATGAAGGAAATCCTTGAGCACTGTGGAAAGGAGACTGGATTTCTTCAATATACAATGCTCAGTTACTGCAGTTGAGCATTGGATCTATTATTCTCTAGTTTAATTGCCTTCTATATGCATTCATCTTCTTCAACGTTTTCCATAACTTACATAATTACTACTTTTGAACATTAATAGTTATGATCCTTTTGATCCATTTGTTCAACTCTACATCCCCATTCATCTATCTATCCACTTAAATTTCCCTCCATCCAATGCAAATAAATGTTAATTCTTCACTTAAACTATGATCCCAATATATTAATTAATTATGACTGTGTACCCACTAAGAAATAATCTTTAGCCCAGTGCCAGTAGCTCATGCCTATAATCCTAGCTATTCTAGAGGCTGAGATCTGAAGATTGTAGTTCAAAACCAGCCAGGGCAGAAAAGCCTATGGGACTCTTATCTTCAATTAACCACCAAAAAAGCTGGAAGTGGAGCTGTGGCTCTGATGATACAGGACTAGCTTTAAGCAAAAAAGCTCCAGGATAGCGCCCAGGCCCTGAGTTCAAGCCTTAAGTCTGGCATGAAAAAAACAAGCAAGCAAGTAAGCAGGAAAGAAAGAAAGAAAGAAGGAAGGAAGGAAGGAAGGAAGAAAGAAAGAAGGAAAGGGGAGGAAGGAAGGACAGAAGGAGGGAAGGAGGGCGGGAGGGTGGGAAGAAAGATCTTTATTCCCTTCAGCCCCTAGAAACCTATATTTTGTCTCTAGAAGTTTGTTTATTTAATCACACAGAGACACATACATACATTGCACACACATAACACATTCATATTGTCCTAACATGATTTACATAATACTGTAAGGAAACAGAATTATATCTGGGTGGTAAGATTATAAATTCTTAATTATTTCCTTTGAAAATCCAAAAAGTAATAAATATTCAACAGACATAAGACAACTATAAACACAGTATAAAGGTGGAAAAGAAACAAAAAGGTAGTTTTTGTTAGTGGTTTATTAAGTTTGATTTTGTGTGTGTGTGTGTGTGTGTGTGTGTGTGTGTGTGTGTGTGTGTGTCCTTGTGTGTATGAGTCTACTGGTCCTGGGGCTTGAACTCAGAACCTGGGCACTGTCCTTGAGCAATTTTGCTCAAGGCTAGGGCCCTACCACTTGAGCCACAGCTCCATTTCAGGCTTTTTAGTGGTTAATTGGAGATAAGAGTCCCATAGACTTTTCTGATACCTTCAAACTTTGATCATCAGATCTCAGTCTCTGAAATTGCTAATATTACAGGCATGACCCATTGGTGCCTGGCCTTAAGTTTGATTTTTAAAAACAAAGGATGAGCCTGTTTGTCTTTATTTTGAATATTGCTTACTCATTCAGTAAAAATGCAATTTCTTTGTTTTTCTTTAGAAAATTATATTCCTAATGCCTCATTCCATAAGGAATAGATTGATGCCAAAAAATTTAAGTCTGTAAATGAAAGAATTTCATAAAAATTACCAATTAAGCCTGGCGCCAATGGCTCATGCCTGTGATTACAGGCTACTCAAGAGGCTGAGATCTGAGGTTCAAAGCCAGCCCGGGCAGGCAAGGCTGTGAGACTCTTATCTCCAATAAACCACCAGAAAACAAGAAGTGGCACTGTGGCTTCAGTGACAGAGCACTCGCCTTGAGCTGAAGAGCTGAGGGACAGCACCCAGGCCCAGAGTTCAAGCCCACAACAGAGAAAAAAATTACAAATTAAATAAAAAAGGAGAGAAATTATTTGCAACATGTTCTCAATATACAAAATTCACTGAAAACCAATAATAAAAATGAACATCCCCAAACCATGATTTAAAAAAGCTTACCAATAGTAAGAATAATATATACTAATAAATAATAATAAATACAAATTTAAAGTAAAATGAAATATGCTGTTGGAATTTTTTTAATGTAACAGTGATTGTAAAGGTTTAGGGAAAATGACACCCTTGTACAAACAATACACACAGGTAGAAATGTTAACAAGTACAACCTTTCTGAAAAAAAGTTGAATAAAATATTTCAAAGTCATGAAAATCCACAAACTCTAACTAATCTACTTCTTAAAGTTAAGGGAAGTTATGGGAAATAGGCCCAAAGATGTATGCCTGGGTTGTTGCATCCAAAAACCTAAAGACATCTTGAGCATCCACTACTGCCACGACAGTTAAAGTAAGCTAAGCTCAACAGGACTTGTCTGCCTGACGGACCATCAGGCTAGCTTCAAGTGCAGTGATAGAGAGGTCATAGTAGACAGATATCTGCTGACCAGGATGCTCATGAAATACTAAGTTCTCCCCAAATCAGGATATACTAACTACAGTACTAAATAATATGTGGATGATGTCATATATGTATGACACATATAAAATGCCTATATGATGGATATGTAAATGCCTTTATATCTGGAATAATAAATAATTGTATATGCTAAGATGTTCATGGAGGTTATCTCTGTGTGGTAACATGAATGGGGAGAAGTATGACTTTTATCCACATTTTTTCTAATATTCTATAGGAGTCCTATATAGAATAATAAGTAAAGTAATACAATTCATATCTGGTGGCACTGTTTTCCTGGAGTCTTTTACAATGAGTCCTGCAGTAGTTTTGTTCTATGACAAGACAGGGTAGCAGAGCTGGGGACAGGAAGAGCAGTCTATGCTCCTCAGAACCCCTCTACAGGCCACAGGCTCAGCTAGAACCAGCTCCTTTTTCTGTTCAGTGATGGATGGTGCAGTCATCTGTCTAAAGCCACCCTGTTCCCAGGTGGCCAGGGCTCCTTATTTCCTGGGCTGCCTTCCTCATGGGGTTACATTTTTTGGGTGGTGTAAACTTCATGTAACAATGCCACACTTTAGAAATGTTAAAGTATGCAAATAAGTGGCTTCCAGAATATTCACAGAGTTTGATGAAATTTGTTTTGTCAGTTTGTTGTTGTTGTTGTTTTGGTGACCCTCCTGGGGTTTGAACTCAGGGTGTGGGCACTGCCTGGGATCTTTAGGCCTTTAGGCTACCGCTTGAGCCATAGCTCCACTTCTAGAATATTCACAGTAATGCAGTCTTTACCACCATCTATTTCCAGAACATTTTCATCACCCCCAAAATAGCCCTCCTGTGCCCATTAGCAGTTCTCCTCCCTCTCATGCCTTATTAATGAGTTCTTCTTCTCTATGTGTTTGCCTGGTACAGACATTTCATAGCCATGGATTTGTGTAATATATGTCCTTCCATTTGTAATCCCCCAGCACAGGATGAAAAGCCACTTGATTTTAGGGGCTCCTTCTGCCTACGTAGGGGTGAGGTGAAAACATCCTATCAAGCATGAGGCCTGGCAACCATTACAACCATCACACCAGTGGCCTGGTTCAGCCTGCGCTTCCTTCTCTTCCTTTCCTCCCAGAGCCCCACCATCCAGCCCAGCCTGTGGCTGATGCTACTCAAGGCCATTCTGACCACTCTGATCCTGCTCTGTGTCTCATGCTTCACTCAGAGCTGGGACCTGGGTTACAAAGCCCCCTGCAGGCAGAATGCAGGCCACTCCTCCTCCCCGGCTTCTCAAACATACACACACACACACACACACACACACACACACACACACACACACACACACACACACACACACACACACACACACACACAGCCCCTTGATAGGCAGCTCAGACCTGACCAGAAAGGAGGCTCACCCAGAAAATCATCAAAGGAAAACTTGTCGTTGTCCCAGATCTGGAACACCACTCGGGCTGGGATTTTGCTCTCCGTCTTGTCCAGTCTCCAAAAGGCATCCTGACCCAGAGAAGGAACAGAGAATGGAGTGGACAAGCAAAGTTAGAGGCCGGGGTCTCTTCAGTCTGGAAAAGACAATGACTGGGATATTCCCTGAGGGTCTGGCCAGAGCCAACTCCTGAAGGGAAGACTGGAAATCTAAGGCAAGTATTTTGTTCAAAGTTACAGGACAGGAAGTGGCAAGCTGAGATTCAAACCCAGGTAGTCAGGTTACAGAGGCTTGAAGCCCTGCTCTGCACAAGTGATCCTTGGTGATGTGGTAGGTTGGCTGAGAACCTGTGGGTCTCCCCCTCACCCTGGAAATAACTGTGGCCCATGATTGTAAGGAACTGGCACTAGGACAGGAACCTCAGCTCCTCCATCCCCATCCCCTGTACCTCCAAGAGCCTGCCTCGGGCTGGAAGAAGGAGAGGATACTTCTTCCCAGCCTCTCCCTCACACCAGCTCCATCTGCAGCCAGATCTTCAGAGCCACTTCCCTCAGAGGCTTCATTGAACATCTAAGGGGTACAGGCCTGAGAGTAGCCACACTTAAAGGTCAGTCACTGAGCTTTCTTACACATACTGGTTCATTTTTTTTCTCTCACTGTGGTTTGATCTGAGCAGGTAGCAAGGGATATGAGTCTCTCTTGAGGAGTAGGCTCCATAGACTGGGAGGGGAGGGCGCTGCTGACAACAGGTTTGCTGGCTGTAGTTGCCCACCAAACACAGCCTTACTGTCTATCTCAGGCTGTGAGGGCTGTATGGCCACCTCCAGCCTCCATGACCAGTCATGCAGATGCTACCAAATCCCCTAACCAAACCCGAGGAGCACTGCGCATGAGAAGCAATAGCCACATCTTGGATGGCAGCCTAGATTGGTGAAGGTGCCACCCCCTTTCCAAGCCCAGCCTCTCCCCAGCCTCCTGCAGGTGTCTCCTTCCTCTGGCCAGCTTTTATGGCCAGCTCCAGGCCCGACTGGCCTGCAGGGCCGCCAGCAGCCTCCATTCTTCAGGCCAGCCTGGTTTATGGGCTCAGTAATGAGCCAGAGGTTCAAACAGCCCATAGTGAGAGCAGCTGGGAGGGGGCTCCAGTTTAAGGAATGAGCCCCCTTCCCAGGTCCCAGGCGCTCATTATGCTCCTGGCCTGGGCCCTTTTACTAGCTGTTTATTTGCAGGGTGGGTGCCTGACACACAGGCAGGCCCCGGTGGGTGTGCTGGACTCCAGGTGGGAAGCCAGCCGGGACAAGCAGCGGTGGTTCAAAGCAGCTGGATGAAAGGAGACCTTGTACTTTACGACAGTCTCGTCTGGTTAATGGGGTCCCTGGAGGGACTGCCTGCCAGAAGTCCTGAACCCCATGGCAGAGAGCTGGCTCTGCAGCAGGCCCAGGGAGCCCAGCAGCTGTTCAGTCCATTCATTAAGCCACCTCAGACCCATCCTCCAGTCCAGACTGGCTAATTGGTGCCCTGTGGGGATGGCTCCACCTGCTTCCCAGAGTCCCTTCTACCGCTGAAGTGTCCACAGGCTCTCTCACCCTCTTGGCTGCCTCCAGAGCCACCTGCACTGTTTCAGTTACTCATTCTTCTCTTGGACCTTCTCGGATCTTCCAGCCATCCTCTTCCCAGACCTGGGACTTCAAGCCATGACTCTCCTTGACACCTTGACATCTATTTCTCCTCTCCACCCCACTCTCCTGCTGGCTTCTTCTCCAAGCCTAGTTATCACTCATGGAGCCCAGCAGACCTTTCCCTTTATCCTCCATCCTCAGCCCCTGAAGCTAACTTCCTGGAGGTCACCGACTCTCCTCTTCCTTGTCAGGGTCTTCAATACAGAGACACACTTCATAGGTGCCTGAATCAAACACCCCAGTTCTGAATTAGTACCTGCAACTGGGCTGCAGAACCATCAGCTAGCTATTCTCTGTGCCTCCATTCAGTCCTCTCCTCTCCTCTCTTCTGTCCCTCTCTTCCTTCCTCTTCCTCTTCCTCTTTCTCTTCCTCCTCCTCCTCTTCTCTTTTCTTTCTCTCTGTCTCTTCATAAAAGCTGTCCTACCTTCTCCATTTGTCTCAAATCACCTGCTACTGTGCCAGATTCTCCTCTGACTTTATAGAATAAACCAGGAAGATCACCTCTGACCACTCCTTGCACACCCTACCTGTCACAGAGAAAGGTTGTTCTGACTCATTTAAGCAGTCAATGTGCATCTCCCTCAGCCTCAATTTCCTCACGGGTGCCCAGCCCCTCACAGAATGTACATGATGCTTTGGCCCTCCCCTTGGCCACTCCTGGCTCTGTGCCCACAGCAGAGGTGAGGGGAGATTTATCTAATGTGGTATGTTCTACACTCTGACAATTGCAGTGTTGGCTGTGTTATGGAAACAAGCTGGTGATAGACAAACATGACCAGCAAAGGCAAACAAGATTACAACTACTAACAGTCTAGGTTTTTCTTGACTTCACAGAATGTTGTTACTAAATTCTACTTTCTAGTGAGCATTGCACAGAAATCTCAGGATGAAAGAATCCCTAATCCTTGCTTAATCCATATTTTCCTTTGTTTGATGGTCTCAGAGTGTTTGGTGGAACATTCTTGTTTCTCTGCTGTGCAGATGATCCTGTGTGTTAGATTGGAATGGTTCAGGTGGAGAGGAAGCAATGAATTGAGAAGGATGAGGTAGCCAAATACATATGTGTATTTCCCTTAGTGAAACTACACAGCCAATCAGAAGACTTCCAGGCTGGAAGTCTAGAGCCACATTTGGATGGCTCAAGCAGAGAGGCACTTGTCCATTTAGCAGGAGGACACTTCTTGGTGGCAATGAATGCCAGGCAGAACAAAAGTACTTGGAAGCTCCAACAGGTCTTTGTACCACGGTTTCCTCCATTATGCTCTGGTGGCTACTTCCTAAGGGCATACCAGGTGCCCTCAGATTCCCTGTACTTTAGTGATACAAAGTTTAAAGTCTAGATGAGACCTAAGCCAGGAGATGCAAAGACACATATACACTGATCCCCACTGATACTTACTTGTCCCCACAAGTGCCTTTAGCTCAAGCAGATTGGGTACATAACAGCAGCAGTTTAGGCCTCGAAGTCGGTGTCTTACCCAGTGCCTGTCCAGATAATGACCACAGACACCAGGCACCAGACAGTTGTGGGAATCTTCTGAGCCAGAGGAGCTTAGCCAAACTACTCTCAGACCTACAGACAACCTAACCAAGCCAGCCTTTTGGGAAGTTCCCTGGCTAGGGCCAGCCCTTGGCCTAGTTTTGTGCCAGTACTGAGACTTGAACTTAGAGCCTCACTTTCACTTGGCTTTTTGCTCAAGGCTCATATTCTACCATGTGAGTCAGGCCTCTATACTTCAGGCATTTTGAAAGTTAATTAGAGATGAGTCTCATGGACTTCTCTGCCTGGGCTGGCTTTGAATTTTGAGCCTCAGAGCTCAGCCTCTTGAGTAACTAGGATTACAGGCCTGAACCACAAGCATCAGGCTTCCCTTTGCCTCTTTGATGACCATCGTGTGTTCTTCTACTCTTCCCCCTCAGGCCCAAGACCATTCTTGCTGCTTGCTTTGTCTGGAATAGGGAGGAAGATAGTAGTTGTAGAATTTAGACTTAGCTACAGATGATGGCTGTGTGGCTGTAAGTGGTTGTGGGCAGCGATGACACTGGTAATGGCTATGGTGATGAAAGAGGAAGAAGAGGAAGAGTACGGAGATAATGGGGGCAGCTTTGCAGGTAATGAGAGCTGGGTGGTGGTTGTTGGGAGTGTCAACAATGATGGGGCAATGCTGGCTGTGACACTGAAAGACAGGGGACAGAGGTGGTGAGGTCTCAAAGGAAAGGTAAAGTCCCAGGACCAGGACTGAAGGAATGCTTACCTTCTTGGCAATGGAGCAGACTTGCTCGGCCGGCAGGTAGTCGAAGGGGAACACAAACCTCCAATTGAAGTTACCCTCACCACCCAGGGAGCGATAGTGCACATCTGTCTTCTGTTTGTGCTCTTCAAAGCCCACCATCCAACTAGACATATGTTAAAGGACATTTCTCATTACATCTCTACTACAATGTACATCCTCCAATTGGCCCAACAAGGATGACAAAGGTAAAGAAACTTAGTATATGCTATTATAAATAGAATTTCCAGGAAATTTCTCTGATGCACAAAATATGACATCCAATAGAGAACATTCTAACTTCTCAGAAACTGTCTGGGGCATCATCCATTTTAGCTCAAAGATGAAGGCAGAAGAGAAAATATGGTGGGAGGACCACTTCTCAAAGGCAGAGAAGATACCCACGAGATCCTCTTTCAAAGCTTCCTGTTCTCCCCTTCCCTACAGCAGAACCCTCAGCTTGTCCAAGTGCAAAGCAATAGCTCCCTACCCTTTCACATAAATGTCACTCATCTTCTCCCCAGTGAGGCTGAGATCATCCAGGATCACATCTTTGGTATTCCAGACAATACAACGCAGGAAAAACCTGGGGCAGAAGAGAAGAACAACGCAAATTTGCAAGCCTTTCCCACCAAAGGGTAGAACACCCTTGGTTGAGCAGTTGGCTAGTCCAAGAAGACCTAGTACCCACATGGCTGGACCCTTGGCCAGGCCCAAACAAATGCTGTGCTTTAAGATGCAAGTGACACAAATCCTGGCCAATGGGTGATCTCCTGGCCCCACCCACAACTAGCTCAGACCCTCCAGTTTAGCTTGAACCTGTGGCTGAGCCAGTCACCTTCTGGCTTTCCGAGGAGTGATATTGAAGGGAGGTCCGGGCCGCCCCAGAGCCTTTGGAAATAGGTCGATCCACATCTGCAGCTTCCCCTGCAGAGACAGGAGTTCATTTTCATTATCCTTTCCATTCAACCCACAGAGCATGATGCTCTGTGCCAGGCAGTTGAGACACAGACCTGAGAAAATCCAGGCCTTCTAGAAGAGGCTTATGCAGAGGGACCTTAAACAGGAAACTGTAGGGCTGATCACAGAAATTGAGTCCCACAAGCCATTGACTTATGCAGGCTTCTCAAAGATAGCAACCTTTGAGACATGCTTTCGTGTACCTGAGGATTGGTACATGCAACTCAGTGAAGGGTCACAGAACAGGCTTTAGCTACAAGGGCTCAGAAGGATTCTATATAGAAGCCCACCTGTAACCTCTCCTCCACATCTACAAATGGTATGAGAATGCTTTCCCTATCTTAAGGAGCTGGGGTTAAAGTAACTTGGTGAAGTCACCCCTGCAAGCTGGTCCTCAACTCAGCTGCACTGATTTGGGAGGCTGGTAGCCAGGCCATCTAGTAGGGAAAGATTGCTTCTCACAAAGGCATCTTCAGGGCTCATGTTGGCCCTTCTCTTTGCCTGCAACCTTTCCTCTCCTTCTCCAAAGATCAGCCTTCTCTGGTCAATCTCAAGCCTGCTGTCTGTTCACACTCCCCTCTGTATAAGAGGCTTCCCCTGCCTATCTCTATAGGTCTCTGCGAGTTCATCATGGAGTGCTGAGCCTGCTCTCTAACCACTACAACCCATCATGGGGTAGAGGTACATCTGAGATAGCCACTGACCAATTCAAACACAGGGGTATACTCTGAGGCCAGGGTGAGATAGCGGTCTTTCTAGAAGACAGATGGAAGGCAGAGGCCAGGCCTACATGTGGAGTAAGTTGCTGCTGACCTTGTTCACCAGCTCTGAGGACCAGAGGTGACCATGGAGGCCAAGCCCTCAGATCCCTTCATAGGTTAGCTGTGGTGACCACCCAGACTCTGAAGAAACAGGCCAAGGAGAGAATGGCCAAATCCCCAAATCCCTCGCAGGTCCTCTAGGTGTCCATGCTGCTTTGGGGGTGGAGCTTTCTATAGTTTAAGGACTCTCCAGGGCCCAGGTGGGTTCAAGATCCCACCTGCTCAATATCTGGCTGTAGCGGGCTGTAGAGGGGCCGTGATTCCACATGCTCAGGAACCAGGCCTTGCTGCTGAAGGACATGAAGAGCCAGACGCTCCTCCACTGGGCCCAGGTGTGGATTCGGGATCCTGCCAGCATCTGCTCCAAACCAAGAAAAAAGATGTGAAGTGCATGAGAGATGGCAAGGCAGCCCAGTAGGCAGATTAAGTGGACTGCTTGAGGGAAATGGGAAGCCCCTCTCCCTAACAGCCTCACCCGAGCCCAGATCCTTGCTCTGGTCCTATGTCTCCCTTACTATGAGGGAATCTTATCGTCAACAGGCTTAAAATTCCTATTTCCTTATTTCCATCATTTCTTTTTTTCCATACCAGAGGGAATCTTCTGGTGAAACCCTCTGAGCAGAGGGATTCACCACAGACTCCCCTCAGTTACTCTTATATTGCTTTATAAGTCATTATTATTTCAGCGTAGTAGTAATAGAGATCTAGTGTTAGGAACCGTTATTTGGAGATTTGTCTGAAGTGAAACTATAGATCTATGAAACAAAAAGAAATAACATTCAACTTATGACAATTTCTCTACTGCAGTAAACAGACACATTCTTACAGCGAGCCTGTTTCCAGTCACCAGCTGATGGGAGACACCGTGGGACTCTCTGAGGTAGTATGGATGCCTGCGACTCCCAAGGGCTAAGAACCTGCTTTGAGTCCTAAGATTCCTAAACTGGAGGTTTCAGGTGCTTGGCAGTCACAGAAATTTTTCTATGAGCTCCACTAATCCACATGTCCATCAACCATTATTGTACATAGAATACATATATGGCACCTGTGTGTGTTATTCGTTTTCAAATATATGTTGGTCAAGTCATTGCCATCATTTCTAACAGGGCCCTTCTAGAAACTCCTTCCTGTTTCTCATCAGTACAAATCTTCTTGTCTGTCAAAGGCCACCCCTTCCAGGAAGTCTTTCTTAGCTGCCACAACTGTGAGCTGCCACAATCTGTATCCCCTAGATCTAGTGGCTTCATGTTATTATTTCTATGCTCTGGTTCACAAAAGTCATTCCAGCACTAGCTATAATAGCAGCACTAACAGAAAACACTTCCAGAATGTTCTTCACATGTATTCACACATCCAGTCCTCACAAGAACCCTAGAAACTAAGTGTTACTGATTCACCCTTTCACGGATGTGAAGCCTGCAGCATGGAGAAGCGCCACACCTGGGCAGCAGGGCAGCCAGGCTCACATGTTCACCTAGGCACAGTCACATCTTTCCTCCCCCTCATGCTTCCTAGTGCAGTTCCTGCCTGCCAGGAAATGAGTTGGTGACTGATGTCATGCATGTGGAGAAGCCTAGCCTGTCAGCCCGAATCCCAAACCTGGAACCCCCTGTGCCAGAGGCCTTGACTTAGAGGTGATGATGGTTCAAGTCCCACTCATGTGGGCCAATGAACACCAATACAGATTTACACACACACACACACACACACACACACACACACCAGACTTGCCTGAATACCAAAAAAAGGATAGAGGAAAGAAGGGTCCCAAAAGAATAAGCATGGCACTAGAGATCCAAAAATATGGCTCTTCTCCTAGCTGGGTGGTGACTTTGGGTAGGTCATTAACCACTCCTGAACTCAATAGCCTCATCAGTAAAACCAGACCGATGCTAAACCTCATATTTTAATGGCCTGTGCCTTGGTTCTTGGAACTAAAGTTGCTCACAGAGAAACAGTTGCCACCAGAGGAAATGAGACTACCACTGAAACAGATGTATGTTCCAGAGAAAAAGAGAATGGGAGGATGCCTAATGGCTAAGCCTGGCTCATGACCCAGGAAACACAGGAAAATAGAATGGGGAGGAGGGGCGACTTGGGCATGGACCATCAAAGCCATCATTTCCCTTTTATAACCTCAGCACCAGCTCTGACATCAAACATCTCTGAAACAAGCAGGAGGCGAGCAGCCAGCTGGGCCTGTAAACACTTCAGGGGAGTCTGGGCTGCTCTGGGTGGGCGACACAGGCCTGTGGGCATCTCAGACACATGGAGAGCATGTGGAAGGATTTTCAGCCACCAATAGTAGGCAGAATCTGTGGCAGGGATGGAAACACTGCAAGATCGCTGGCCTGCCCTTCAGATGCTTAGTTATGTGGGCGATGCACAGGAGTTTCAAAGGCTTATCAGCGTCTGTCAAGCTAGCAGGTTAGTGCAATTCATGTAGAAAAGGGTTTAAATGTTCTCTAAACTCTGACCAAAGTCTGACCTCCAACACCAGAGGACCCTGATCTTGGCTTCAAACTCATCCCAATCTTGTCCTCAGATAGGCCTAAACATGGCCTTGGATATAGTTCTGAACCTGATCCCATCCTGACCTCTAATTTACAAGTAGTATCACACATGTACCCTAACCCTGCTGCTCTGGGATGTGTCACTTGTCACTAGGGCCTTAACGAGAAAGGAGGGACTGAGAGAGGATAGCCCATCATGGTTTGATGTGGGGAGTGGGGGAATCACATAGTAACTCACCTATCTCCTCAATGGTGTACTCTTTATCCTGAAATGTCACTCGATCTGTCCGATACACAGGGGCCTTGACTCTGTGTTGCTGACAGAAGAGGTGGAGAAGCTGGGAAGGGCGGAGCTGGTCCCTCCACTGGTTCGGTCCAGAGCTGAAGCCCAAGTGCAAAGCAAAGATGAGATGTAGCACAGATCCTAGTGGTAGTGAACATTGTACCCTCACACACAGCAGCATCCACCCTTCACAGTGGATGCCCCATCATATTCTTCATCACCCTCATTTTACAGTTGAAGAAACTGAGGCTCACGAAAGAAAAGGTCATAATATGTGTGGAAATGGAATCTACATGTTTCCCATTTCCAGAGTTAGAGAAGCAGACCCAAACAAGAATGGAGATGGTTAGAAGAAGTACTGTTCACACCTGAATTCTCCTGAGAGACTAACACAGAATTCCTCCCCAGGCCCAGCTGGAGCCCATTGTACCCAACTGTCACCTTCCTTCTCTCCCTTCTTCCCATCCTCTCCCCAGGGGCCCAGTCCACTACCTTAGAGAGCACTGGCTTATAACAATGTGATAAAGAGCCAGATCTCTAGAGTCAGATAAGCAGGCTCAAATCCTAATCCTCCATTTATGAACCATAACCTCTCTGAGTGGAGTGGAGACAATTTCCCCCACCCCTGCCCCATGTCTACCCCCACCCCCGCCACTGAGTTCAGGAAAGAATGTCTGGAAAGCGCTAAGTCCAAGCTGCATACAGCAGTATTCAGTAGACAGAATGGTTGGTTGTCGAGAAGCAGCCAGCCTTTAGCACATACACACAGTAGGTCTGTGGGAGTCCACAACGAGCCCCAAACTTAGACAGCAGCCTGTCCTCCAGATCAATGACTGTCTCCCCAATCTTCTCATCCTTGGAGAGAAGGTCGTAGTCATAGAGAGTGATCTTCAGGTCCTTCTCCAGAGGTAGAGTGCAGGTCAGCTCAAACATCCTGCAGGAGGGTAGAGGTCAGGACACTGCCAGCCCCTGATGTCACTGGACCCAGTAGGAAGACAAAGGAGCACCAGAGTGAGCTATCCCAGGGTGGCTACCCTCCTCAGATCACACCACCCACAGTGTAGCTGTACGCTGAGTGTGTATGCATGTGTACATGGGGGTGGGGGTGAGGGGTATGTGTGTGTGAATAACATAGAACAAAATGCTAGGACCAAGAGATGTAAAACTCCAGATACCAGAGCTCTGGAGTTTACCTGCTGTCCAGACTTGGGCTACACATCCACTTCTGGTGCAGAAGGAAAGGAGGGTTTATGGAACGATTTCTTGGGAGAGAGCACCTATGGGGTCTGAACCTCAGCCTCCACAAGGGTCAAGATGGAGACAAAAAGCGTTCTAGGCTGGCAGACTCATGCTGACTTTCTTGTGCTCAAGGTCACTTAAGCAGCATACAGAAGCAGACAAGGGCCACATTTGGGAGAAGCTGGATTCCCAGCAATGCCTGGGACAAGGAACACATGTGCATCTTGTGAAGAAGAGGAAACTCTTGCAAGGCCAGACTACAGCTGCTCTGAATCCTACCCTATGGGACCTCATAGGGTCCCAACAGCCAGAGATTGTGGAGTGAACTATCTGAGGACCCTCAGAGGCTGAGCAGTGGCTTGCTAAAGGGGTACAGCATCTACTCAATCACAGATGGCACGTGTAATGCTACTTTGCCATAACTTAAGCTCCTCTGGTCCTGGTTCTGTTCCTGGAGGGTTGCTGGCTAGCTAGAGGGCAGAGGAACACACTCACTAAACAGGATATATGAGGCAGGAAGAGCTTGCTTCCCTCCTCACAGTCCCCTATGAAACACATGGCTCACTCAAAGTCCTGGCAACAAAGATGCTTAGGGTGCCTTCAAGGTGCTCATACACAGATCTGGTCATCCTAGCTGCAGCCCTAACCCTAAGTTTTTGACTTTTATAAAGTCAAAGTAGAGTGAAAGTGCTTCTGCACTGATCTGCAGGAGGCTCAAAATCCCAGGAACCCGCTTTGGGCTGTGATTCAGAGGAAATGGAGAATGGGAGCAGGAGGAATGTTTTCTGCACTCTATCTTATTGCCACCTGCCCTAGGCCTTGACCATACTCACCCCTGTGTGAGAGAGGGCCATTACCAATAGCCCATAGGCCTGGACCAGCCACTGAAACTTATCAAACAGAGCTACTTTCTCCCATCCTCCTTCTCCACCCTAAATCCTGGTTGGATAATGACTCAGTGCCACCTAGGACTGTTTCTCCTTCAAAAGCTGCCTTTTTCCAAGCTGACTACTGGTCTGCATTGTAGATGGAGGGACCTCAACTAACCAAACAGATACCCATGTTGGGATGCAATGTGTTGCTTGATATATTGGCACACCAGACCTCTTCTACAGGTGCCTGAGAAATCGCTGCCAGCCTCTTTTTTTGTTGTTGTTTTAAGAGCCCATAACCAAGAGCAACTCAGGCCCAGCACCCACTCTCACAGCAGAGGTATTGATTTTCTTCCTTTGTTTTTATATTTCCAGCAGTATTTCATTGTCTTGGGTCTCCATTCTTCCTATAGATATCCACCACAGATGTATGTGGACACTGAAATAGTAACTGCTCAATGCAACTTGATATATGGGACTAGATATGGAAAATATAAAAGACATTGGTGGAAACTGGTGAAGTCCTAATGAAGTCTAGGGTTCATTGATAATAATGCACCAGGCAAATGGACCATAGTTATACAAGATGTTAACGGTGGAGAAAATTGGGGTAAGCCTATATGGGAACTCTGCATTATCCTTGTATATTTTCTGTAAAATCTAAAATTATCCCCCAAAAGTTCACCAAATAAAACCTAACTAATGTATCTTCTGAGCATCCATGGAGATTTCTGATCCTAGAGGTAAGGTGTGTTTAACTAAGAGGAACTGGGGCTATATTGATGTAGGAAAGCTCTAGGGAATGCACTTCTGCTTCTTATGACAGGGACCTCCCAGGGGCAGCCATCTCTACTCACTAGACTGTAGCATTTCTAGAGAGTCCCCTCCACCCCAAGACCAGACTACATCCCACTCACTTTCCAAATACAGGCTCCAGGGTACAGGGGATGTAGTTATCCTGGTCACTCACTGACTTCTTCCCTATGGAGATCTTGATGTAAGGGTCACACTGGAGGAGGACACAGAAACACATGTGTGAAATCACTGTCCCAACGTGTCTTTGGGGATTCTTGGGTCTCCAAAGGGGTGAGGTGCCAGCCATGAGGAAACTTCAGTATAGACTGTGTCGGGTCTGGTTGGGAGTCCATCCTGTACACCATACCATAACAGTTGGCCAGACACAGGCTTCCAATCTCAGCTCCAGCAGTGGGGCTATATCAATACACACACACATTCCCTAGACCTTGCATGTGTGTTGGTATACCCCCAGCTCTTCTTTCCCAAGTCCTCCATACTTCTGACCCACTACCTCATTAAGAGAGGTTGATTGGACTAGGTCCCTATCCTCATACATATAATACATAGACAGTATTCTATATAGAAATCGCCTAGGTGTGTGGGGAGGTCCTTTGTGACCTCTGCTTATCCAAATAGAAGAAAAGAGAGGTGGTCACCCTTTGTCAGCTAGCCAGCCAGCTTGGGCCTGTCTCCCAGATGATACCTATGAGTGACAGCAACCTTCAGCCGTCCTTCCTGAGCAGCTGGGGCCAGAGAGCACCCAGACTTAGCCTACCTCTAAGAATGCTTGAAAGATACAGGCCTGCTTGCTAGCTACATCCTGGAGGCCATTGTACCCTGTGATGGTAGGACTTCTCAGCCTTATAAAGCAGGGCTGTAAACATTAGGGAAAAAAGACCACACTAAAGCTACCAGCACAACTATGTTTATTGCAGCATTATTTACCATAGCTAAGATATGGAACCAACCCAGATGCCCCTCAGTAGATGAATGGATCAAGAAAATGTGGTATATATACACAATGGAATTCTATGCCTCCATCAGAAAGAATGACATTTCCCCATTTGTTAGGAAATGGAAAGGCTTGGAAAAAATTATATTAAGTGAAGTAAGCCAGGCCCAAAGAAACATAGGTCCCATGGTTTCCCTTATTTGCAATATCTAGTATAGGTATGAGTCAAGCGGAAAAGGTCAGATAATGTGATGTCAGGAAAACGAACCCTTAAATATGTATTTTAATGTTTTTGTTTCTTTCATGCATGTGTTTCTAACGCATTTATAAGATTATTTCTTTGTTGCTTTGTATGTCCCTCCCCAACAGTGTAACCCCCGCTTTCACTATATTTGATGTCAGTATAACATGTGGAGGAGATGGGGACAAACAAGTCGTTTAAGGATTCAGGTGGACCTGTTGCAACAATGAGTAGTACAAAATGTCATGTCAAAACCAGCTTTACAATGTCGGTGGGGGGGGGGAGGGAGGATATAATTGGGTGGGGGGGAGGGGGGAGGCTGGGAAGGGAGGTGAAGGGTAAACAAAGGAGGAGGCTGCAATGCTTGGTAAGAAATGTATGCATTATCCTGCCCATGTAATTGTAACCCCTCTGTACAGTATGTTCTCAAATAAAATAAAATAAAATTTAAAAAATAAAAATAAAAAAAAATAAAGCAGGGCTGTAGGCGGATGCTGGTGGCTCACGCCTATAAGCCTAGTTACTCAGGAGGCTGAGATCTAAGAATTGTGGTTCAAAGCCAGCCTGGGCAGAAAAATTCCCATGAAATTTTTATCCCTAATTAAGCACCAGAAAACCAGAAATGATGCTGTGGCTCAAGTGGTAGAGCACTAGCCTTGAGCAGAAGAGCTCAGGGACAGTGTTGAAGCCCCATGACCAAAAACAACAAAGCAGGGCTGGGGTGGGGGGGCACGTCACAGCAGGGGTAGGCTCTACCCACCATCACAAGGATACACACTAGACATGAACTCATATAATGAGATAAGGAAGAACCCTATTCTTGTCTGTGAACTCTATTCTTGTCTTACCCCACTGCTACCTCTTTGTCTTCCTTTTTCCTCTTTCAAAATCTTCTCCATTCCCTCCCCATTACCTTTGTGTTATTCTAGAATCCTCCCTTCATTGAATCTCCCTCCTCTATTTCTGGCCAGGACTAGTGTGAGACAGCTGAGTCTCTTGCCTCAGACACAAAATTTAAGGGAAGGCTCCAAAATTCAGTAATCAAAACAAATAGTATTATAAAATCAAAATTAATGCCATTAATCCATGATGAACAAAATATCAAAATTCCAAACAAAGACAAGATGAGTATTCCTGGTCTCTCTTTTGCCTCTATCTCCATATGGATGAGCGTGGCAGTTACTAATCCTATCTTTTCCTTCTTCACTCCTCCCTACCCATCACTGAAATTCTACAAGTTCACTCCCAACCTGCACCCTCAACCTCATATCTTATACTTTACCCTGGTTCCACACATAAAGGAAGCAACTGTCTTTCAAAGTCTGGTCTATGCTTTGACCCCTTCATATGACTTTCCTTCTCCCCTTGAGTCTATCAAAACTCTGAGTATCCTTAAGAATCCTAGTCTTTCCTGGAAGTCTTCTCTATTTTTCCAAAGTCCTATACTGACTTTGACCTTCTCTTACCTCTGGAGCACTTGATCCCTGACAAAACTCTGTCCAGATACATCTCAGTTCTGCATGTGTTCATCTGGTTTTCCCAGTTTACTGAAAGCTTCCGGGTCAGAAACTGTGTCCAGATTTTACAAGTTTTTGTAGCTAGGTGTATTCTTCTAGGGGAACCAAAAGCTTCAGAAATATTACCTTCCCATTGGGGTCCTTGGGCTGGAGGCCAAATGCTCGAACAATATAGATCCGGACCAAGCACTCCTGGGGCCCCTGGGCAGCCAGCTGGTGGAACTGTCTTGGGGGCATGGGAATGGCTGGGTCTTCTGGGAGGGGATAAATTTTGAAAAGGCCCTAAAAAACAGAGGGTTTAACTTTCACTTTTATGATTGTCATCCACATGATAACCATATGGCAATCCATCTTTTGCTCTATGAAAAGTCACCACCATGAAGAACCATCCAGCAGAACACTGTCCCATCACCGTCATCAGAATCTGCACCAGCAGCAACATCACCACCTCCGTTCCTCACATGGTCACGAATATCAACACAACCTCTCCCACTATGCACTTACTGTGTCGATACTACAATCTTATACGTCTGTACCGGGACATGTCCTCAAAAGCTCACCTTAAACTCGCCAGTGACAGACGGATCTTCTGTCTCTTCCTGAGTCTTGCCTCGGTAAAGCTTGAAGGTATTACAAAAATCAGACAGGCCTTCAAAAGCCTCCACATTCTCCAGCTGTGTGTCATAGACCTGTCACACATGGGAATAAGAAGAAGAGACAAGGGTCACTAAGGGAAGAACAGGAAAAGAATGAAACAAGACAATGTAAGAATGCAGAAAGAAAGAGAGGGACATAGAAGAGAGTGTTGTAAGCCAAAAATATATAAATGAACAAAAGCAGAGCTGGAAAGGTGGAGATATGAGCCAAGAAGAAAAAGAGAGAAAAGAATGAGAACAAATGCCCAGGAGAAAGGAGTATGGGAAGACATTTGCCCAGTCCCTTAGGGAATAGGGTTTTTGAGTTAATCAAATTTTCTAGGACCTGGCACAGGTGGCTCACACCTGTAATCCTAGCTACTCAGGAGGCTGAGATCTGAGGATTATGGTTCAAAAGACAGCCCAGGCAGGAAAGTCCATGAGACTCTTATCAACAATTAACCACCAGAAAACTGGATGTGGCAGTGTGGCTCAAGTGGTAGAGTGCTCACCTTGAGCTGAAGAGCTCAGGGTTAGCGCCCAGACCCAGAGTTCAAGCCCCATGACCAACAACAACAAAAAAATTAGGTACCTGAGAATCATATACAAGAGGTGTGTGTGTGTGTGTGTGTGTGTGTGTGTGTGTGTGTGTGTGTGTGTGTGTGTGTGTGTGTGTGTGTGTGTGTGTGTGTATGCTAGTACCATGGCTTGAATTCAGGGCCTCATACTCTCACTCAGTTTGCTTGTTTGCTTGCTTATAGTTGACACTCATCACTTGTGTCATATCTCTAGTCCAGCATTTTGCTGGTTCACTAGCCATGGAGTCTCACAGACTTTTCTGACCCAGCTGACCTCAAACTACAATTATTCTCTGATCAACGCCTCCTGATGACCAGAAATACAAGTAAGAGGTAGCATTATCTGACAGTGATGTATTTTTGCAGACTTGGTAGTTGAAACCTATAACCCTTGCTGCTTGGGAGGTAGAGATCAAGGGACCACAGTTCAAGGCCAACCCAAGCACAAAAGTTTGTAACACTCCATCTCAACCAGTGGTTCACACTTGTTATTCCACGTGCAGAGGAAACACAGTGGCTGAGAGCAATGACAAGCCTTCATGAACTCCAGAGACATGATGGAGTACAAGTCAAGAGGATACTAGCCCAGCCTGGCAAGGACATAAAATGAGACCTTACCTCAAAAAAATACCACTATAATTAGTCATTTTGAAAAAGTGGTGTGGATCAAGTGGGAGAGCCACCTACCTGCCTACCCAGCAGGCACAAGGCCAGGAGTTCAAACCCAAGTACTATCCCCCCAAAATGCAGAAAAAAAAAACATATATTGAGAGTGAGAAAGGTAGTCAGGACTCTTTATCTTTGAAATAAAATAACTTCATTGTTAACCTTTCTGGGTCAATTTTTCCTCGTACACAGTAAGGTCTTTCAATATACATATACACGTACATATACATATACACATATGTATATTCATGTATCCAGTGAAGTTTGGTTAAGTGATGATGTTTGTTTTCTTTCACTGTTGGGTTGTCTTCCTCAGAGACTCCAGTTATACAAATGTTGGGTCTCATTTTCTTGACATATGCATCTATCACTTTCTCATTGTTTTATAACTGTTTCTTGTTTCCCTTTTGCTTTGCTTACCTTTATCCTTTCTTCCCTCTGTGATGAAATGATATGGCCCTGTGTTTCCATGTGTCTATTCCACTCCACACACGTTCCAGTAACAGGTTTCCCTCATTTTCCCTCCTGAGTGCCACCATCTGCACTCAGCTCGTCATCCTCAGGTCATTTCTTTTCTGCTCTGCATTCTGATGACGCCATTTCTAAAAAGTTCACAGTCTCATCTGTTCTGCTCCTTGGCAAAATTGTTATAGTGTGCATATGTCTTTTCCTACTGGTGAGTTTGATTTCTATTTTCCCTTCTTCATATATGTGTATATACATATATATGTTATTTATGTTAATTTATTACTATATTATATAAATATTAGATATTTATTATATTTATATTTATTTGTTATTATATTTATATTTATTCTATATTTTTATAGATGAAATTTATATATATATATATCTATGACTTTTAAGTTAACACTGCATCTTTTTTTTTTTTTTGGGTCCGGTCGTGGGGCCTGAACTCTGGGCCTGGGCGCTGTACCTCAGCTCTTCAGCTCAAGGCTAGTGCTCTACCACTTGAGCCATAGCCCCACTTACGGCTTTTTTTTCCCTTTTTGTTTATGTGGTACTGGGGAATCGAACCCAGGGCCTCACGCATGCAAGGCAAGCGCTCTACCACTGAGCCACCTTCCCAGCCCCCACTGCATCTTTTTTTTGCTATTACTTCCCTAAATGAGCTTATTTCAGCTAGACTGCTGTTCCCTTCATTTCAACTATGGAGGCAGACTGCATTCTAATACAGGGCTGTCCATGAGACTCCTGTGTAACTCTTCCTTCTCAGCTTCCTGAACCAAACCAGATCTAATAGATTTCCATCATCAACTTGAACTTGTCTCCAAAGGTCTTGTTTTGTAAAGAAGGGGATTAATATCCTATTTCCCAGTGCAAGAACTATATTTTAAAACTATGTATTATAAAAAAAAACTTTCAAGCACACCAAAACAAAGGAAGCTAAGTACTGTTGGTTCATGCTTGTAATCCTAGCTACTTAGGAGGCTGAGAGCTGAGGATTATGATTCGAAACCAACCCAGGCAGAAAGTCCATGAGACTCTTTATCTCCAATTAACCCACAAAAAAAGCTGGAGGTAGAGCTGTGGTTCAGTGACAGAGCACCAGCTTTGAGAGAAAAAGCCAAGTAAGAGCATGAGGCCCTGAGTTCAAGTCCTAGTACCAGCAAAAAATAGAATAAAATAAAATATAAAGAGGATAACTAACAAACTCTTGTGAACCCAACACCTGTCTTCAGTAATTATCAGCATTCTTCCATTTGGAAGTCCATTTTGCTGAAGCTTTCTCAGACCTGTTACCCCTATGAGTTTCATCAAGCCTCATGAATCCTCTCTTCATTTACTGCCTCTACCCAATTTCACTTGTCCTTGAGCAGCCCTTACTTATATTTTGGAGACTGTGGCTTTTATTTGTTTCCAACTTTTCTGAAAAATGGATTTTGTGGGTTTGAATGATTTCCAAGAGAAAAGAGGAAAAATGCTGACTTATGCAGCCATGTTCATACTGGAAGTCCTAATAAAATACTTTGTAAATTTCCAACTAGTTGGACTTTTTGTTTAAACTTTTGTTATTAATTTCTCATTTTATTGCATTTTAATCTGTCTGGTATTATTTCTGCTTTTGGTAACTTATTGCTAAACTAATATATGATCAAATTATGTATGTTCTATAAAGACCAGGAAAAACACATTCTCTGTTTATTTTTTTCTATATTTTATAGCTACAACTTTATCTTGTTGTTCAGTTCTTTTATTGACTTATTTATTGAATATTTGACAAAAAGAAAAAATATTTTAAAAAATCTTTGTCTTGAGCCAGGTGCCAGTGGCTCACGCCTGTAATCCTAGCTACACAGGAGGCTGAGATCTGAAGATCGCGGTTCAAAGCCATCCAGAGCAGGAAAGTCTGTGAGACTCTTATCTCCAATTAACCACTAAAAATGCAGAAAGTAGAGCTATGGCTCAAGTGATACAGTGCTACCCTTGTGTAAAAAAGATCAGGGACAGTGCCCAGGCCCTGAGTTCAAGCCCCATGACCAACACACACACACACACACACACACACACAATCACTTCATTTCAATAATTTTGTGCTTTTATTTGTGGAAGTTAATTAGTTTATGTACTCTTAGCTATATTTTTACTGGAAAAGAATTTTATCTTTTGAGTCACTTTAAGTTTCTTTTTTAATTTTTAAAATTATCTTGTAGTTGTATAAAGGGGGTTCAATTCAACATGTCAGTTCACTAGTACAAAGCATCTTGATCAATGTTGCCCCTTTCATCTCTCCCAACCCCAATCATCCCCTCAATTTTCATAACCATTTTTGCTTGGAGTATTTCTAAGCTCTTTTCACTAAGGAGTATACAATTTATTTATATAAAATGATCTGTTTTGTTTCCTTTACTTTTTACTTAAATTCCCTTTCCCTATATTTACACTTACTTGATTTTGTTTGTAAAACTGTTCTAAAGCATTGTTTGTCAACATTTTAAATTTTTAGCTATCCTAGGTTGTATTGTGTGTCTTTTTTTTTAATTGTGAAAATACTGTACAGAGGGGTTACAATTACATGGGCAAGAAAATGAGCACATTTCTTATCAAACATTGTAGCCTCCTCCTTTGTTTCCCCTTCCCATCCCTTCCCATCCTCCCCCCCCCCCACCCCCCTACCCAATCCTCCTCCCTCCCCACCAAAGTTGTAAAGTTCGTTTTCGACATAAAACTTGTACATCTCATTTTTGCAATGGGTCCACCTGTATCCCTATTTAAACGATTTGTTTTTTTTCCCTTCTCCTCCACAAATTATACCAACATCAAATACAGTGAAAGCAGGGGTTATACCGTGGGGGAGGGACATACAAAGCAACAAAGAAATCATCTTATAAATGTGTTAGAAACAATCGCATGAAAGAAAAAAAAACATTTAAATACATATCTTAGGGTTCATTTCCCTAACATCAACTTTCTGACCTTTTCTGCTTGACTCAGACATATACTAGTTATTGCAAATAAGGGAAACCATGGGACCTATGTTTCTTTGGGCCTGGCTTACTTCACTTAATATAATTTTTTCCAAGCCTTTCCATTTCCTAACAAATGGGGCAATGCCATTCTTTCTGATGGAGGCATAGAATTCCATTGTGTATATATATCACCTTTTCTTGATCCATTCATCTACTGAGGGGCATCTGGGTTGGTTCCATATCTTAGTTATGGTAAATAATGCTGCAATAAACATAGTTGTGCTGGTAGCTTTAGTGTGGTCTTGTTTGTGAACATTTGGGTAAATGCCCCAAAGTGGGATTGCTGGGTCACAGGGGAGCTCTATGTGGAGTCCTATTGTGTGTCTTTTAAAGACAATACAATGAGGGGGCTGGGAAGGTGGCTCAGTGGTAGAGCGCTTGCCTTGCATGCATGAGGCCCTGGGTTTGATTCCTCAACACCACATAAGCAAAAAAGAAAAATGCCAGAAGTGGCGCTGTGGCTCAAGTGGTAGAGTGCTAGCCTTGAGCTGAAGAGCTAAAGGACAGCACCCAGGCCCAGAGTTCAAGCTCCATGACTGGACCAAAAAAAAATAATAATAATAATAAAATAAAAACAATACAATGAATTTGACTTTAAGATAGCCTAAGAGTCCTGATCATTTAATAGGAGAGATTAATCCATTTGTGATTATTAGGAAAAATAATATATTTTATTTTTATGCTGTTGGTTTTCCCTATGACTTCTGTTTTTATGTTTTTAATGCATTCTTGCTACATAGTTTACTTTCTTTATATTGCTATTTAGACGATGAGTTGTTTTCTACCCCTGCATACTAGTGATTTTCCAAAGTGTTTTTCCCCTACCCTTTGTGTATTTCATTGTCTTCATTATGCTATAGGCAATTTTCAAAGACTCACATTGCTAGTGGTGTTTTTCTACGTATTTTTCTATTTTTTAGTCTTTTTTGCAAAAATATAATTTTATTGTTAGTCTTAAGGTGTTATATAGAGGGTTTACCATTTCATATGTCAGGCAATGAGTATAATTCTTTTTGAACAATATCACTCCCTTTATTCATTCCTTCCAAGTCTAGTTTTTCCCTAAAAGATAGTTTGAATTCCTTTTGCTTCGGAGAGCTTATTTCCACTTGGCTGCTACTAGAGATCTCAGAGAGGTCAAGCTGGAGGGCTAGGTGCCAGTTCAGCATCCGACATCTTAGCGAGCAGTGAGGGGCCATGGACAATGGTCCACCTTGGAAGCAGTTCTTATTTTTGCTTCATTTGTCTCATTTCTTGGCAAGATCACATGCCACATGCCAGACCTAATATGTCAGATCTTCTTCCTGGTACATAAATAGTTCTGTGTCTTTGCCCAATCTTACACACCCAGTTTCAAAGTTAGTCAAGAACTTGCTGCCTGAGCTGCTGCTGTTGGCGCCTGTGGCCTGATCTCTGAGCAGCACTGTCTCCCAGCACAATTCACTAGGCAACTTCCTGTATTATCAGAAAGGACATGGTCCACTATCTTGTGAACCCACTCTACAGAGTCCAGACTAACAGCTATCAGCCAGCAGAATCAACCAAAAGTCCAAGCCATCCATCATCCCAACTAGCCTCAACCCTAGCTTATCCTTGTCTCCTTGAATGTAGCTCTTAGGTCCTTCCCATACACCTAACAGCCTGTTTCCACCTCTTACTCTCTTCTATTCAATCCAGAAGTAATTATGGAGTATAGAATCTCCTTTATTTATATCCTAGAAATAGAAAATGAAAATATACAATATCCAATTAGATTTGAGTCTCAAAAATCAGAAACAGTATTTAGGTATGTCTCCAATAATATTTAAAGCATATTTATACCCAAAAAATTGTTTATTTTAAATTCAAATCAATGTCTTACTTTTTTTTTTTTTTTTGGTCGGTTGTGGGGCTTGAACTCTGGGCTTGGGCGCTGTCCCTGTGCTCTTCAGCTCAAGGCGAGTGCTCTACTGCTTGAGCCACAGCGCCACTTCCAATGTCTTAAATTTTATCTGGCAGTCTCATGCAAGGGACAATTCATTTGAGGAGCAATTTTTAAGTCACCTTTGGTTATCTTTTTTTAATCAGTCAACTTTCTAAAAGTATAATTGTATTTGTAGAATTTCCTCAAAATTCTAGAATTTGGCAGTCTCATCCTTAGTGTCATCCACAGAAATAAGGTTTGCCACTTTCTTGTATTTACTAAGTAATTTCTATCCCAATTGTAGGAGTCAGGGGTTGGAGGTACATTCTCAAGCTGATTTTATATTTTATTTTAATTCACATTTTCTTTAATAGAAAAGCTCAAAGAATATCAAAAGAATAGTACCACAAATCACTAAGTACCCATTGCCAAGATTTGAAATGTCAGTGATTTGCAATTTTACTGATTGCTAGCATTCTGGAAATCTGTCAGAGGGACACCCACACCATATAGCTTCCTCCTTATGCTTTTTGGTAGGTGAGGGAGCATTTTAAAGAAAAATCCCAAGCACCTTTTTGCCTATAAACACTTCAGAACTTCTCAGTATTCTTTCAGAAATATTTTGTTAGTTATACTAGCCTACACTGATTTCTTTTAATTTTATTTTATTGTAAAGATGCTGTACAGAGGGGTTACAGATACAAGAGTAAGGCAATGAGTACATTTCTTGTTGAGCATTGTTACTCAAATTTGCAGATAAATTTCCTCATTCCAATGAGTTCATCAGGGCTTATCACCCTTATCTATCTATATTATCCCACACCATCCCAGGTACCCAGTGGCTGTGGACTGAAGGGAAGCATTCTGAAGGGTGGTCTTACCTTTAGAGTGTCAAAATCTTTCTCCAAGTAGGAGCCACACTTTTCACTCTCCCCTATGGAGGCGAAGAATTTGCTCCACCAGTCAATGAACTCCTCCTCCTAAGCAGGAAGAAAGAAAGAGACCATTTAAGAAACAATTTGCCAAGCAAGGTCCTTCTGAATGACACATCTTCCAAGGTGGAGTTTACGTGAACAGGGAACCAAAACCCTCACACTCCATAAACAAAGGATCCACTAACTGGAGGAGGTTTTAGCACCTGAGAGGTATGTAAGAGGCATAGGCTCTGCACTAACTTGCATGTGTTCCTTTTAGGACAATCACTTTATTGTGAAGTAGGTACAATTATCATAGTACCTTTTACATTTTAGGGATAAAGTGAAGCTGACATCAGAGGGTGCAGAGGATACTCTGGAGAAGGCACCAATAACATATTATTCATGAGTAAATAAATCTAGGAAAGCTCAAAGCTCAAACCTGGCCCTTGTTCCCTATTGTCAGTACTTAGAATCCTAAGGTCAAATCAAGACTGAGTTTCTGGGGAAAACAATTAGCAAATACTTCCCCTATTCAAAAGACACTGTTAAGTAAGGGGAAATTAGTGAGCAGAAAGGAAGTTGTATCATCTCATTCTCTGCCCTTTCCTTCCATCCATCATTTATATTTGAAGGAAAAGGTTGGCCTGTTGACTGTGAAGGTTGCTGTGAAAAGTGGCCTCTCCACCTTTTGCATAATGTGCAGCCACAAGCACTGTTGACTTTTGTCTAGAATGTTCTTCTAGATGGGTCTAGGTAGCATGCCCTGCTCCCAGGCCTGCCCCAGATACCCACCCAGGACTGGCCATTCAGGTTAAGCCTCTTGAAGCTCATCCATCCTAGTGCAAAAAGCCAGGGAGGAGAAGCCCTGGAGATTTCTGTATGAAGAGGTAGCTAGGAGATCTTCAGGAGCTGCACTATGGCTGTACAGGGAAGGAGATATCAATCATGGAGTTTCTAAAAGTGCTGGCAGATCCCTTGAAGCCAAAGCTAAATCCTTTCAAGTTCTGGATTTTGAAGGGTGACCACAGTCTGAAGCAGGTATACTAGAGAAAAGATTACATGAGGTGGTCTGAGCGCCCACCTTTCCCAGAAGTATGGTCCTAATGTTTTTGGCGTGGCCAGGTGTGGTCCCTAGACACAGAGCAGAGAACAGCAGAGTTGTCACTATGGGACCCACTTACCAGGAGTATCTTCTGCAGCCAGTAAAAAGAAACAGAGATTCAGGTGGATTAAGACCAGAGAAGCAGAGCTTTCTAATTTACAACCACTCCAAGAAACACTAGCATAGAGCAAGGAGACCCATCCCTGATGTTTAAAATTTACTTTAAAGAAAGACACTATAAGGAACACACATACAGAGACATACATATCAAACTTACACAATGATCAGCACATGGTAAAATATATTTATACAGCCATGCCCAAATAAGATGTATATGCCAAATCATACATATTCTCCCACAAAAATACACAAAGACACATAAATGCATGGACAAATATGTACAGTTACATAGAAAAGATTAGAATGGAATTCAGTTTAGCTGTTTGAATCCTCCTGAATCTTTCTCTTTCCCAACCCAGATTCCTAAAACAATTGAATTCATAAGTCAAGCACAAACAAACAAGAACACAAGAATCGTGGGAAAACTATTGCGCATCCCTCAGTCTTCAAAAATCAAGTAAACTTTAAAAAAAATAATAGAAGGCAGCCAAGCATCTGTAGCTCACGAACTATAATCCTAGCAATTCAGGAGGTTGAGATCTGAGGATTCCAGTTCAAAGCCAGCCCAGGCAAGGACTCTTATTTCCAGTTAACCACAAAGAGCTGGCAGTGGAGCTGTGGCTCAATTGAGCTCTAGCTTTGAGTCCAAAATTTCAGGGACAGTGCCCCAGCCTTGAGTTCAAGCTCTAGGACTGGCAATAACAACAACAACAATAGTAGAAGGCAGATGGGAATCAGTGACTCATGCCTGTAATCCTAGCTACTCAGAAGGCTGAGATTTGAGGATTACCATTCAAAGTAAGCCTGGGAAAGAAAGTCCTTGAGACTTTTACCTCCAATTAATCACCAAAAACCTAGAAGTGGAGCTGTGGCAAAAGGTAGAGTGCTAAGCAAAAATACTCAGGGACAGCACCCAGACCCTAAGTTAAAGCCCCAGGACTGGCACCAAAATAATAATAACAACAACAGCAGCAGCAGCAGCAACAACAATAGTAATAATAGAGGCCAGGAGCTGGTGGCTCATGTTTGTAATCCTGTCTCTCAGGGAGCTGAGATCTAAGGATCTCAGCTCAAAGCCAGCTCAGGTAGAAAAACTCATTTGACTCTTATTTCCATTTAACCAGCAAAAAGCCAGAACTGGATGTGTGCCTCAAGTGGTAGAGAACCAGCCTTAAGTGAAAAAGCCAGGTGAGAGCATGGAGTCCTGAGCTCAAGTCTGTGTCCTGGTATTTTAAAAAACAATAGAAACAGAAGACAAAGAATCTGAATAATACAATTAACAGAGACAAGTAAATAGACAAACAGTAAGTAAACTGAAGACAGAAAATATACCTTCATTTCCAGCACTCTTGCAGCACTTAGAATAAATAAAAAGCCACAAAGCAAATTTTCATGAAGTTCCAGAAATAAAACCCATAACAATCATATCTCTCATCATCTTGGAAAAGAAAAACTTGAAATTAATTTTTTTAATTCTAAAATTAAAATTCCAGTCTTGATCGGGCGATGGTGGCTCACGCCTATAATCCTAGCTACTCAGGAGGCTGAGATCTGAGGATCACTATTCAAAGCCAGCCTGGGCAGGAAAGGTCATTAAGACTCATATCCAATTAATCACCAGAAAACTAGAAGCAGTGCTGTGGCTCAAAATGGTAGAGTACTATCTTTGAGCAGAATAGCTCAGGGATATCACTCAGGCCCCGAGTTCAAGCCCTACCAAAAAAAAAATCCAGTCTTCCAGAAATTCAAAGGCACACTCTTAACTACAGTGAATCAAACAAAAACTTAGAAAACAACAAAAATGCCAACAATTTATAAATTGAAGACAAGCCTATATGCAAAGGAAAATTCAATAAGTGTTTTCATTTTTATACAAAAAGAATATAAATAACCTGAGAATTCAAGAAATTGTAAAGAATAAGAGATTAAAGAAAACTGTAAATAGCAGTGATTATATTAGAAAGAATATTACAATTAGTAGCTAATAACTCACAGAAAGAGTTCAAAAGATGAATAAAAGATATAAGCACTTATTTTATCTACTTTTAAAAGCCTAACTTTTAAAAGTAGATAAACATTAAAAATAAAGAAAAATTAAATAAAAATATATTATGGGAGAGAATAAAAATAGACATAAATCAATAGCAAAATCTAGGAAAATCTAAAAGTGTAGGAATTTATAGTTTTCTAGAAAATACAAATCAAAAGCCCAATTCAAAGCATGAAAATTTCAGTAACCCTGAAATTAGAAAAGCTCTAGCATAAAGAGCTACCTCCAAAAAGATATCAGGCCAAGATAATTCAGCCTTTCAAAGAGGAAATCATTCTTTATCCTCTGGCTTAAAAGAAAAAGGAAAGAAATCCCATTCATTTTATGAATAAAGCCTAACAAAGACATATACATACAGATTAATCTCATTCCTGAACAAAGATATAAAGATCCTAAATATGCTGGGCACTGATGGCTCACATGTGTAATCCTAGCTACTTAGGAGGCTGAGATCTGATTCCTGCTCAGATCTGGCTCAAAGCCAGCAAGAGCAGGAGAGTCAGTGCGACTCTTATCTCCAAGAAACCACTAGAAAACCGGAAGTGCTGCTTTGGCTCAGAGTGGTAGAGAACTAGGCTTAAGCAAAAAAATCTCAGGGATAGTGCCCAGATCCTGAGTTCAAGCCCCACAACTGACAAGTAAACAAAACAAAAAAGAGAAACCCTAAACATAACATTATCAAATTGTAGCTGTGGATCTGGCCTAGTCAATGTAGGTTTTTCTAGAATTAGATCAGATAGACACGTTCAACAAAGTAGCAGGATATAAAAACTATACACAAATCAAGAGCTTTTCTTTATACCAATAATGAACTTGCTGAAAAAGAAATCAGGAGAACAATCACAATCACAATAGTCTAAAAAAAAAAAAACCTCAGACAAAAACCCAATGAAAGATATTAGAGACCTCTACAATGAAAGTCCAACAATGGAAAAATGAATAAAGAAGACATGGTCTGTTACTGGATAGTAAAAGGAATGAGGAACTGATACCTGTTGTATGAATGGACTCTGAAAACATTGTAAGCAAAGAGAAGTTGATCACAGGAGACCACATACTGCATGATTCCATTTATATGAAATGAGACAATTCAGTGAGTGGTTGCCAGAGGCTGAGAATGGTTAGGAGGAAATGAAGAGTGACTGTTCTGAGCTAAGATTTCTGTTTGGAATGATGAGGATAGTCTAAAATAGATTATGGTGATGGTTGCACAACTCTGTTAATATACTAAAAAACACCAAATTGTACACTTTAAATAGGGATGTATGTTTATGTGGGCTATCTCCACAAAGTTGTCAAAACAAAAAGTAACAAATGACCAAGTACAAGTGTAGAAGTAAAGTACAGACTTAAGAATAACAGTAGAAATCTCAAGTGTATATTCTAAGGAAATAAGAATGGAATTTTTTGTTTGTTTCTTTACTGGGTTTGAACCTAGAGATCTTGCTTGGCTTTTTCACACAAGACTAGCACTCTACCACTTGAGCTACAACTTCACTTTGGGCTTTTGGCTGGTTAATTGGAGATAAGAATCTCATGGACTTTCCTGTCCAGACTAGCTTTGAACCACTAATCTCATATTTCAGTTAGAATTAGAGGCATGAGCCAAAGTGCCTGGCTTAAGAATTTAATTTTTTAAAAAAACAGAATAGGAGTTGGCCACCAAACAGGATCTATGCTTTGTTGCACTCAGCTTACCTATGAACCTCTCTCAGGTGCAATTTTCTCTTCACTCTAAGCTCCAGGAGATGGCTGGTGGCTCCTGAGCAGACATGAGTGGTGAATAGCATA